GTCCTATTGAAGTAAAGACAACGACACTCCTTCCACATCCGTCCACCTGGCGTTCCTTTTTGACAGGCGACTCATAACTACAGGAGACTTCAGTACGAGTGGCCTACGGCCCGGCAGTGACCCACATGGGCGGATGAAGACGTGACATCACATGTCATGTTCATGGACATGAATACAACACATGTCTCTCTCTGTGTGAATCAACCAGGAAGTCGTTGTACAATCAGTGTCAGTCAATTTGATCACCTCAGTCGTCACAGACCGCTCTCCAGCTGTCGGCTTCCTGAGAGCCAGGGAGAAAACGTGGCAACGCCAGCTTTTCTGTCAGTGCCTCAAAACCGAAGTTCTTGGTTGTTCAACAGTGTCTGAGAGTTTGTTTTGTCAATTATTTGCTGTGTTCAGTCTCACTTTAATGATGTTGTTTGAAATGCGACACAGTCGTTCAGATGGCAGTCCAACTACATGTCGGACTACAGTAAGAAATACACATTTAGTGCAAATTAGGCCAAGAAACACTGCATGGATGTAACTTTTTGTGCAAATAAGCAGGTTAATGTGAAAACCTTATGAAACCCTAAGCTTGGCCAGGACCCTGTGTGAGAGTAAGAATGAGAGACAGCGGAGAAGGGGAGGCAGCAGGATGTCCAGACAAGAAGTCAGACAGACAAACAGTGAAGGGAAGGGCAAGTGAAATGTGGTAGGAATGTGACACGCAGTTGGAGAAAGCACATTGACCCCGGTCCACATTCTGCCGGTGGGTTCCAGGTGTCTCACCCGCCTCTTCATTCACACACGGATGTCAAGATTCCCTGAAGGAAACCAGGTCGGTTCCGTAAGGGAAGTCATATAAGAGCGAGCGTGACGGCAAGAAACCTGCACCAGGAGGCCCAGCAGTCAAAACAAGGCCTCCGCGCCGTCTGCTGAGGCACTGGAGGCAGCTACGTCAGAGGAAAAAATGCTAGCATAGACACATAAAACGGAGAGGACTGAACCTAAATATTATGTCTGTAAAAACATGACCTAAATATTGTCTGTGCGGAGCTGAATTTTCCGTCCTGCCTCCAGCCTCTGCCTGACACCCAGGGCTTTTACACTTGTCTGGACACAGTAACGTTTTAATGACCGCTGTTTTCCAGACTCTGTTAAACTTACAGTAAATACTTACAGCAATATACCATTATGAGGCTCAGTAAATACTGAGTGACATTTCCCAGAGAGTTGAGTCGTTACAGCAGTGGTTACGGGGGTGGGAGTGGGAGAAACAGCTAATGAAAAAAGTAGCTTTAGGTTTTGTGGGTTGAATTAATGACCACTGTTACAGCCATTATCATAATGAGGCCATAATCACCATCGACCTATTGTTAATGACTGCTGTATTCGTTTTACATATTTGTAGATTAATTAGATAAAAGTTTGAACAAATTTTAACCCATGGGCAGAATGAGTCTCAACTGTATAGCCAATAATTTCGCCATCCATCCACTTATCACTGCTCTAAAACTCAATCGATACGCAATTGGTAATTTGCACAGACAGTGGGGAAAAAAATCTTAATTATTAATTACGATTATTCATTATCAATCCTGAGCAACTTTTTGTTTTGCTCTGTCTTTTTTTTGCATCAGACAAAAAAAAACTCCTTTATATAAATTAAATATACTGGAGCCAGCAGCTGGCACATTAAACGCTTCCCCAAACCGCTGTATACTCTGATTACTTTCAGCCCATATTTGTACTGACAAGTATTAACAATGGTATACACAGCCCATGTCTAATTAGAGCTAAAAAACATCACTCCCCAGATCATTAGAGAAACTCGTTTACAGCGGCCGCAGCACTATCACAGCGTTGACTCATTTGTGCAGTAAAAGAACAAGTCGACAACACAACAACGGCCGCTGCTTATCTCTGGTGTTTGGACCGTGCCAAGAATTATTAGTGCATCGTGTCTGGGCAGAAACCAGTTCACAGCAGCAACGGTGAACAAACGCCTGGATAGGAATTCAAACTGGGGTTCATTCAGATAAAAAAAAAAAAGTTCAGCTCAGTTCATCTGATCTTTTTGTCTCAGTGAGAATATGAAACAAAGCTTTATTTTTACAAGACGGAATTATGTTGCAGGTTTATCTTTTCTCAGTGAAAATATGACTGTTTGGGTTTTTTTTTAATATTGTTAAACCACGCCTTCACCTACAACTTCATTTCATCATAATTCTAACATAATTTTGCCACAACTAGAGGGTGTTTATTGGCAAGAATCGATACGGAACGCATTACGATACAAGGGCAACATACAATATATCGCAATATATATTGCAATATACTGTGAAACTATAGGCACCACAATATATTGAGGTTTTTATTTAACAATTTTATTGTAGTAGAACTGTCAGCATTGTAAACCTAAAATGCCTCTATCCACAGCTCCCACCTGAGGTAAATCTTTACATTCTCATCATCTCATCATTCATTTACAAGATTCTCCAGGAAGAGGTTTGTTTATTAAAATTATTAATTCAACCAAGGGCTTTAGACAACAATCCAGAAATCCTCAGCTCACAGAAGAGCGTTCCTTTTTCTCTTGTTTGTTGCGAATGACATTCAGACATTATTACTTTCTAATAAACTTTGATTGAAGAAAAACAATGTCTCAACTCCCAACTGTCTCATTAACGTGAAAAATTAGCCCATCTGTGATGGACGTTACTTCAAAAGACAAAAGAGAAGAAGATTTAATGTGATGGACGTTACCTCAAAAGACAAAAGAGAAGAAGATTTAAAACTCCAGAGTGGAGGAGTTAATCTTTTCTGCTGTGAAACTATAAGACAATCACAGAGTGGGGAAAGGGAAGTAGAAGTGGTGGACGAGGCTGATAAGAGGCTTATATTCATCCAAAACTGACAACAGCGATCCCTCCTAGACTGGATAAGTAGACTTCACATCTCGCCTATATAAATTCTCATGATGCATTGCACACCTGCTCTCTGCGAAGTCTGAGTGAAAGATTTCAGGCACCGGTTCAGAACTTTTTTTTTTCTCTCCTGCAATTATCCAAAGGACTTGAACAAAGTCCAAACGTCTTCTGCCAGCACATATCTATAACTGTCCTGACAAATAATGCAGCGATGAGAATTTAAGACTCTGGAGGAGGATTGTGTTTCTGCTTGTCCTGATTTTAACCATCGACTGCACTGAACTCAAGACTAAAACACCCGCAAAGAAAAGCACCTTCAATCATAAACTGCAGGGGGAAAAAAAGTCCAAAAAACATATATTGTATATGGGAAACAGACAGAGCCAAGAGAGTCAATGGTACAACAGAGTTCACTGTTAAGGTCTGGGAAGATGCAATTTAGTCGACACCCTATCGCCGTTTTCTCTATAACCAGGCAGCTAGCTGATTGCAAAACTGTCACTCAAATATGTACCGTATTTTCCGGACTATAAGTTGCACCTGAGTATATGTAGCTACCCCAGCCAAAGGATGAAAAAACTGCCACTTATAGTTTGGAAAATACAGTAATCCACTCAAAGGGATAACGATTTAAAAAAAAGAAAAAAGTATTTTCTGTTGCAGAATACTAATGTTCAACTAGAGATAAGTAAATTTACACAATAACTTTACCAGATATTTTGTACAAAGATATAAATAAAGATTTTTTTTTTTTTATGAAAATCATCTTGGTCTCCATTTCTAGTCTCATGTGTTTTGCTTTGACACATGGAACCCTTGAGTAAGGAAGGTAACCATGACTGGGAATCAACAGCATGTCCACCATAAACAGTGTAAGGAAGGTAACCATGACTGGTAATCAACAGCATGTCCACCATAAACAGTACTGCAAATATTTGCAAGAGTTTGCATATAAGAAGAAAAAGTCAGTTTATTGAATAATTTTGTGCAGCTTTTATTTGCATATTCACTGGGTTTGTATTCAAATATTGTGCAAACAGGTTTTTGTTACAGGCTAAATATGGCGTGGAAAATAAATGTACTTTTCTGTATCTGCAAACACATTATGTGCAAAAAGCAGGATACAAAGGACAGAAACTTAAACACTGCTCTGTGCTTAGAGTATGTGGAAAATGTCTTGATGCAAATGCGACAAACGGCGCGCCATTACGTAAGTCGTGGGAATGAAACTCATAGACCCTTCAGCAGAAATTTAATGTGGTGACTGGATGCAGCAGCAGCGGCAAACTCTCCAATCAATACCCCGACTGCCAGTGGAGCTGGGAGTCATTAGCACCAATGAGCCAAGTGGAGTGAGTGTGATGTGGAATGACAGGCTCTCACAGATGCTCTCCAACTGTTTCCCTCATTGTCATTCAAACCCAGCAGTCGCAGTCACACTAACCCAACACAGCTACCCTACATTCTCACTGGGCAACTGTGAACTGAGAAATCCTACCAGTCCAGTTGCCCTTGTTGCAACTACTTCTCTCAGACATGTTTACATCGATTGGTTTGAAGACGTCACATGACTCTCAGTAAGACAAGGTTGAATGCCTTTCTCATGACAGGTGTATTATTATTTGTTACAGAGCACCATGTGATTCAAACACAACTCATGCTAATTTTTTATGTCACACTTGAGCAATAATCAAAACTTAAAACATATGTTGCCATTTGGAGCTTAAGGATTGTCCCAGGGCCACATCGGCATGTAGCCACTCTGTGTGATTCAGTATCATTTGTCCTGCAAAAACTTTAAAGTAACATTTTGTTCAACTCAACAAAATCAACATTCTGCAAAAGTGTGCATCTGGTAAAGTGTGCAGTAATGTACGGTAACAACACAGATCACCTCCAGTATCTAGTACACAACTTAGTTAATACTCAGGTTGCAGCGTGTTAATTAAAAATTGGGTATAAATGGGTAACGTCCCCACTCCCTCCCACTGAACACCCCCCCCCCTCCTCCCCCCACCACTTTCACATCAAAACTTTTCTTTTTTTTTTTCTGTATATGGAGGCATGCTGTCCCCTTCTCCTTACCTCTCCCCTCCTGCTCTCGGCTCCAGGTCTGGTGATGAGCGCCGTGTCACCGCACACCACGGCTGCGTCCTCCACGAACACGCAGTCCGGGAGCGACTCATCCGCGGGCAGCTCCACCACCTCCAGCCCGAACGTTGTCCTCAGGATTTCCTGGTATTTCTCGTGCTCCCTCCGCGCCTGGACCACATCCACCTCCGACGGGCAGCTCCGGAGCGCCTCTTTGGCCAGGGAGGCAGGGATTCCCCGGACGATTGCGTGGGTGTAGCGACCAAAATCTGCAATCCTTGACGCCATGCTTTGCTCCCCGGTGACTTGGAAACGGTGATCTGGTCTAAAAATAAATAGGGGGTGAACTCAGAGACTGGATGGGGGAGGCTAGTGTCAGTTAACCCGGTGCTGCCTGGTGTTGTTTGTTGATAAAAAACCTGGATGCTGCTGCTGCTGCTGATGCTGCAGATGCTGCTGCTGCTGCACAAACACAGTGTCACAGTCACTCCTGATCCAGACCTGATCCACAACTCGTCAGTGACGCGCAGCCACAGTCACGTGGAGCCAGTGATTGTTTGAGGTGTGACAGTCGTAGTCTTCGTACTCCGCGTCCAGTTTGCAGTTTAAGCCGATTGGTGCAGAGAACAGACCGGAAACAGACCAAACACCAGACAGCTGTCAATCAGTCACAACCTGGAGGGAAAGGGGTGTGTTTTATAAAGTAAATAAGTACTTTGAACTGGTATATGGTGATTCAGTCATTGGTCAGAACTGTTTCACCCCCTCCCCCCTCGCACACTCCACGTGCTTTCAACCCTTGTTACCCTTTTGCCCCTTCAGTCACTCACTGACAAATTCAGTTGTATTCGTTAATATTAAACTTATATAAAATAGAAACAAAGGTGATTTTATTTCAGCTCTTCAAATTCATGTAGCAGTAACAGCATTTTACATTTTGAATTCTTAAATCAACCAAACCTCTCTTTCAAAATATGATTTTTTTAGAAGGTGATTTCGTCTTTGATTTGTCATAAAATATAAATATTTATTATTATTTACCCTGGTAAAATGAAGGTTAATTACAAGGTTACAGGCCCAGTGGTGCCCCCTCAGTACTGTTGCATGACCAGGTGTGGCCTATGAAAACCTCAGGGCGGCACACCACAGTGGTCATCCTCAGGGTTACCCAGGTTTGATTGATCAGTTGTGTCACTGTCTCCTCTATCACACAGTATCCATTACCTGTGTTTGGTCCAAACAACTCCATTAACATAAAAATAAATAATAATAATAATAATAATCAGGTGACCAGAGGGATGGGATGCAATTTTGCAATGGTGGTCTCGCAAAAATCAAATTTCATTGCTTGGATTTAAGGACATGTGTGGACTTTTCTATCAAGTTTAAGGTTGGATTTTCTCATAAAAAAGAGTCTTTTTTTGGTGGATTTTGCTGAGTAACTTGGTGTTTAATGCCTTGCCCAGAGACACATCAGCACAAGGGCCAGCAGTGAATGTAGTCAAACCCCTGACACTGCAATTGGAAGTGGACTACAGCTTCTCACTAATGCACAGTACGGACACTGCCAGGACAATGGGTCAAACACCATGACAGACCATGTCTATAATGAGTACTCTCAACATCATACTGTACGGATGTGAACCACCGGCCTCCAACATCTCACCTTCATCTCATTTCTACAACCGCACTCAAATACCTGAGAACACAGAGTTACGCCTGGTTTTAACAAACCAAAGAGATAAAAGATGTGTCCGGAGTTCGAGAGCCGCTTCTGCAGTGTGTGAAACATAAGGCAAGCAGAGTGTGAACGGAATACGTGCGTATGTTTGTGCGTATGGAGGCACTCGGGTTATATTCCCTGTGGTGAGATCTAAGAAACGGTTCTGGGCCTGGTGAAGCCATCTGAATGGATGGAATGTTTCTACAGACGTCCCAGAAGCACATTCTTCCACAGCAGGACCTCGGTTTGTCTTTTCTTGTTCCAGATTCACTCAATTATCCCCGACTGCTCTAAACATTCCAGGAGCCCTACATTCCTTTTTCCACTCCAGCCAGGATCAACAACCACCACCCTCCTCCTCCTCCCTGGGCTAACACCTGCCCCCACCCACCAACGCTCTTCTTTTTCTTTCCATCATTCCTCATTGTGGATGGACGTGGCCCAAGAAAAGACCCTCTATTTTCTCCTTTTCTCTCCGTGCTGAGGAATTTGGGTTCGTTTGGATGAAGGAAAAGCCCTCATAGCCCAGGCACACCTGGCTGGTACACAGTGTAGCTATAAATGAAAATGAGTGAAAGCAGACACGATGGTCCAGCAGATCTTTATACGTCTGGTACGACCCAGCTCAGGGCGGGACTGTAGACGTCTATAGAGACACACATGTACATGATTACACAGGTGCTCTGACCATGTTCACCCCCCCACCTCCTCCAGAGAGTTCTTAAAGTAATTAGAGTGATGACAGAACGAGAGATGGAACGATATGCATGGTATTCCTAGATGTCACGATTGTGTACAACACTTTTTCTTAAAGATTGACTGAAGTAAGAGTTCATTTTTATTTTGCAAATATGGGAAACGAGCCTAGCCGTAGGCTATATAAGTAGACTAGAAGCGCAGCATTGTTGTTTTTTTTTTTTGGGGGGGGGTCTTTATGGGTGAATAAAAGTTCTTCTCACTCAGTTCATAACATCAGTTCAGTTTTCCTTAAGGGTTCATGGCCTGCCTATTCAAATGGTGACACGAGGGCTAGATGTAGCCCAGACACAACCTCGGAGTGGCCCAGTCTACGGTCATTCGAGAAATGCGGAGAGAAACTGAAAAACCACGATTGATTTGGCGACTACCTAGCCTAGCAACATGCAAGGCATGACACAGTCACATGACCCTCAGAGAGCATACACATAAAATGATCAGTGACAAGACCAATGAGTGAGTATGAGGAAGTACTGAAGGCCTTCAAATGTAGTACTAATCACAAAAATATTTAACCCTAGAAATATGCCGTACTTAATCAACAAATCAAAGGTTGCGGAGGGAAACATTCCAAAGAAATCAGAGAGAATCTTTGATCTTCGGATATGTTCCTTTAGATCTCGGCTCAGGGTTTACCACTGACTCATGACGACCCTCATTAACCCAAGAACAGCCCATAATGCATCAGACCTGTATCAGCTCTGAAGCCTGACAGGATACAGGAAGTGTTGTTCATACTCAACGCATACCAGTAGTGATATTTATTTTAAATACACTTCAATGGAATGTGTTACATAAGCACAGACGATTGTTCTGTTTCATCTGTCACTGTGACAACGCCGGGGGGGCAGATATTTACTCGCCTCCGACTTCCTGAGGACCATTTCTGTCTCGTCATCAGTGAACGCTGCTGGCTGAGGCAGACTCTGACAGTGGGTTTCCATTACACACAGCCGTAACACAGTGTCATAAAATGAAGTCATCAGTGGAATCACAGGAGTCCAAGCTGAGGCCGTGTTACAGCATAAGAAATAATCCAAATTACATTTTCTGCAAAAAGGAAAGACGTCCCATCCTCCGTGTGTGTGTGTGTGTGTGTGAGTGGAAATAATTATGCCCAGACAATTACATCACGGAGCCTCATGTCCAGCTTTTGGAACATTTCCTGAAATGAGTGGGTAATTATGGAATGAATGTTATTCTCCATTGACGCACAATGAACAACACTGTTTCCTCTTCCATAAGAACTACTGTACAGTGTGTGCATTTTGTGTCACATATAGTACGCACACTGAAACACACCGGCAAAACCACAAGACAAAGTGAATGAAGTGTGGATTTGATTTCAAGAAATAAATAAGTTTCTACTACATTGATCCCATATTTAGGAAATTGTCATGGAAGCACTAACTATGTGGTTCTTCTGGGAATCAAACTGCTTCCGAGGCAGGCGTGCTAACCGCTACACTATGGACCCGACTATGTTTGTTGAATTTTTTTTTTTTTTTTGCCTTTTGTTTTGTTTTCATCTAGAACAGGGCTTTCCAAACTTCAGCAACAAAACTGCCTTTTTATTAACTGCAAAAACATTTAGGCCTTTTAGATGAAGGCAGTATTGCAGTGTATGAAATTAAATACTGTAGTATTTAATACAGTACTAGCACAAACATTCAGTAGTAATTGATAGGACACACTACACTGGTTAGACTAGCTAAACACATCTCATGTTAAGAAGACGGTGTCATTATGTTTTGCTGTTAGCAAGTAAGTAAACAATTTAGTGTGATGTGTACAGGAAGATGGTTCAAACCAAATCAAAGGCCAAAGTCAGTCAGGCTAAATTTGGTCCATTTTAACGAGACTAAAAAGGCTCAAGACCCGTACAGAATGTGGCTCAAAAGCCACAGGTTGGACACCACTGCTGTAGACTGTATGTAAGAAACGAATGTTCTAATTTGGCTGAAAACCCAGATTGTTAACAGAAAATAGGGGAGTCCTCTGTTTTTAAAAGTATCTTTGTATATTAATTATTATCTAAAAGAGACTAATGTCATTATTTTTATGCCAGAACACTTTAAATATCATGTCAATGATTTTATTCTTTCATTTAGTATAATTTCTCAATGGGACAGAACAAAATGCAAAATACAGGACTTTCCACTCTCCAATGACTCCGCTGCTGTTGTGTGTTCCTTTTCTGGTAAACAGCCACATCCTTTGGGACTTGGGGAACAAAATTCTTACAAAATCCTAAAATAAAACAGAAAAGACCCCCAGCTGTGACGTTGACCTGCTGCTCACAGACCATAACAGGGTCTCTCTGAGCTGCTTCAGTCGGGACAGAGTCATCAATATGGTGAGTACTGGTTTGATCACCCCTTTGAACTCTCACTTTTGACAGCACACGAATGGTGACACACACACTTTGTGGTACGGGCCAGTGAGACAGAACACGTGCTGACAGAGACACGCCCCCTTGTTCAGAGAGGCTCTCACTCTCTCTCTCTCTCACACACACACACACACACTCTCACACACACTCTCTACAACGATGTTAATGTTTGAACTTGAAGTTTGTTGGTCGTTCTTAAGTCATAAATAATAATAATAATAATAATTATATAAATATTCAACTCATTCACAAAGCTATTCTTCACACATCACCATCTAGTGTTTGAAACTAGAAAGCAAAGCATTTATTTTAAACCAAAACCCAAACCTGATCCGAGACATTTCTGCTGCAGACATGCATCAGATTATTGAAAAAAAAAAGTATTGACCAAGAACATCAGAGGAGGAATTTAAACATGCATCCAAAGCATCCTTTACGAATCACAAGTGTCTGCTGGGAACGGTATTTCAAGGTGAGCTGTCTGCTCAGGTAAAGAAAAAGAAAAAACAAAACAGAGCTTTTGGAATAAAGTGAGGAGAATAAGAAGTGTTAAAAACTCACCGGAGAGGCTGCTGGTTCACCGCTGCCGTCTCACTGTACAATCTGTCTACACACAACAGGCTACAGGCAAGAAGAGAGGGAGTAAGAGAGAGAGGGAGAGAGAGAGAGAGGGAGACGAAATATCCGACTTCTATAAACACAAATAAAAACTCTGCCCTCATGCAAAGTTCCTTTTTAGCCAGACCTCCGTGGCTTATGTTGCGTCTGTGCGCATCCATCTGGTGACTTTCCCCGCTCTCATCAGTCGGAATCATTTGGAAGAATGTGGGATTTATTGAGATCCCTGAAGCCTTACAACAACCCAGACCCAGACCCAGACAGCACGACATCTCTTTAGGAAAATTGGAGTGTGTGTTTACCTACACACTCTTTTTTTTTACCGCCCTCTGGTCAGGAGAAAGGTGATGGACACATGGCGTGAAAAGTCGAATTGCCAAAAGGAATGAATGCTGAGGAATTTCCCCTGCATGGAGAACATATTTAACAAGCCTTTAAGCTGTCAGGAATGCTTTGTGGTCTGCTGGCCAAAAGGCAGGGAAATATGTTAATAATGTAGGCTACTGCCATACCAAATATGGCAATATTGTTACGTCTGAGCTCTGGTGCGCATCTGGAAGCGCTTAGCTTGTCTGAATAAAGGCACAGGAGAGCCAGAAATAGACACTGTTGAACGTATTTCTGCCCACACCTTGAAGACCAGGAGAAGGGGGAAAAAACCCTCACCGCTATTTTAAAACGTGGCCAATACAACAGCATGTGAAAAGTTTATTCAAAGAGTTACGGCGCAGAATTGATGAGCATTGAGACCAAAACCTAAAAATGAAGGATATAACAGTTACACATCTAAAACTCAGAATGCGCCAAATTACGCACATAATCCAACGTATAATCCCATATTACGTGGCCAATAAAACCGGACTCCATGGATGCCATTGATTAGGATTTGATATATGTGAGAAGCAAACAGGAGGGGGGGGGGAGGACGGGGGGTAAAGGAAGGTAGGTATAAACAAGGAGAGCAGGAAGAATGTGAGACGGAAAAGTGTGTTCAGATGGGATCCAGGGGGGAAAAATCCATCTGAGTGAGTGAGAGAGAGAGAGAGAGGGCGAGAGAGAAAGGTTTTAGACAGGGTGGAGCTTAAGTCTTGGATGGAAAATGCGCCGAGAAACATTCCTGGCATAGTTTGGGAGCAGTTCAGTAGGCAGCTCAGGAACGACGTCAGCTTCAAACTACGGTATAAAAGCGCGGAGGTGGCCGCAGCTCAGCAGACTGCAAGAGCTTTGACTCCAACACGAGCCTCCACTAAGACTAGAGACCACCAGAAGACAAGTCCAGAGACAGACGACTGAGGGAATACCCAACAAGGACTCCTCTCGAGACAGATTATAATCCACATTTTTACTCTGGGAACAGGATTCCTTTTGGAAGAAAAACAAACTAACCAAGATGCTGGTTCTGACTTTCGCCGCTTTCCTTCTCGGAAGCCTAGATTTGGTGAGTGATTTCTGCCTTGTTTGTCTGACAGTCGGGTTCATGTGTTGGAGGGATACTGTGGTGCTGGACGTTCGTCCGTCTAACACTGGTGTGTCGCCGTTGTTGTCGGCTCTAGGTCCTCTCCTCTCCCTACCATTCCTGCCCCTCCGTGTGTGAGTGTCCACTGGAGATGCCCAAGTGCGCACCGGGCGTCAGCGTCGTGCTGGACGGCTGCGGCTGCTGCAAAGTCTGCGCCAGGCAGCTGAACGAGGACTGCAGCCTGACCGAGCCCTGCGACCACACCAAGGGGCTGGAGTGTAACTTTGGGGCCAGCTTTGCTGCAGCGACCACCCGTGGCATCTGCCGAGGTTAGTATCCAGATCATCCCGCTCCAGATGTGCACGTCTCTCCTCGGCTTTTTGTTTATTTTTTCTGACTTTCATTCGCTAGTTTCGTAGCCAGTGTGAGTTCACTGCTGTGGAATGCAGCTAGGAGGAAACTTTAAAAGAAAAAAAAAAGTCTTAACCTCAAAGTACACACAGCCAAGTGTGGAAGGAAAAAGAGACTCCTCAGGCAGCCTGAAGAATTTCACAGTTTAACTGATCTTTATCTGGCAGCCATGTGATGTCTTCAGCAGACGTCTCTGAGCAGAGCAGGAAAGAATAACATTCCTTTCTCCCTGTTTTTTCCCCCTTCTCTCTGCTGCAGCCAAGTCAGAGGGCAGACCCTGTGAGTACAACAGCAGGATCTACCAGAACGGAGAAAGTTTCCAGCCCAACTGTAAACACCAGTGCACATGCATCGACGGGGCAGTGGGCTGTGTCCCACTCTGCCCACAGGAGCTCTCTTTACCCAACCTGGGCTGTGCCAACCCCAGACTGGTCAAGGTTGCGGGCCAGTGCTGCGAGGAGTGGGTGTGTGACGACGGTAAAGAAAGAGACATCCTGGAGAAGATCTTTGGAAAGGACATCATGACTGATGAACTGGAGCGAGACCTCACCAAGAAGAACGAGCTCATTGCAATTGTCAAGGGGAGACTGAAGACTCTTCCATGTGAGTGTTCCAACAGTTAGCAGCAGCATCTCATTTATTTACTTTGTGCCAAACGATTGCTACACAACTCAGATGTTCTAATACGATTTCATTCATTTCTTCCATCGTAGCTTATGTAGCTGAGCCAGAGGGCCAGATGTTTGACAGCCAGAAGTGCATCGTCCAAACCACACCTTGGTCTTCGTGCTCCAAGAGCTGTGGAACCGGCATCTCCACCAGAGTCACCAACAACAACAGCGAGTGCAAGCTGGTCAAAGAGTCGAGGCTCTGTGAAGTGCGGCCATGCACCCAGTCACCCTACATCAGTGTGAAGGTAAGCACGAGCAGCCATCAGTGATGTGGTCCACCTGTGTCAGCACTGCTGCAGCTCTGAACCCCAACTAACCTCCACGCTCCTCCATCTTCTGCAGAAGGGAAAAAAGTGCAGCAGAACCAAAAAGTCCAGCCAACCGGTGAAGTTCACCTACGCCGGCTGCTCCAGCCTGAAGAAGTACAGGCCCAAGTACTGCGGCGCCTGCGTGGACGGCCGCTGCTGCAGCCCCCACAAGACCAGAACCATCCGGGTCAAGTTCCGCTGCGAGGACGGCGAGACCTTCAACAAGAACGTCATGATGATCGAGTCTTGCAAGTGCACTTACAACTGTCCCAATGCCAACGAGGCCTCCTTCCCGTTCTACCGCCTCTCCAACGACATCCACAAGTTCAGAGACTGATTGTGGACTGTGAGAACGGTGGAGGTCATCAGCACCAGTGGTGGCCCACGTAGGGTCCAGATGAATGCAGGGGTGTAAATAGACCACCAGTCAACTGCCAGCTTCTTGTTGTAACTAGATTCCCAAGGAATTGTGGGCTTACATCATGAGGACTTAATGAAGTGCACTGTTTGCTGTGACTACGTCAGCATTCCTATTCTTACCAAACCGCTTCGTATTAACGGAGCGTCTCGAGTAGCTTCGTTATGGAGCAAGATGTAATTAAAGCATTTGTACATTTAAGTTAGCGGCTGATATCAATTCACTGTATATATATATATATTTTTTATCCTTTCCCATCAGACATGACCCAGACATGACCTGTAGACTTGTGTGTGCGTATGCAGATATGCACACAGGCAACGTTCACCTAGCGGAACCTCCCATCACTTATCTCCAAGAAGCAGACGGTGAAATGTCACCTCTGGACTTGTTTAACAAGAGTGTGGTTTCATTTTCTTCTCAACGTGGGCATTACTGTTCATGTTTTGTGGCAGCTATTGAAAACTCCCTTCATGAAAAAAGACAAAGAGGAAACAAACAAAACAAAACCAACAAAAAACAACAACAACAACAAAGTCATGTCAAAGGATGAATGAATGAATGTTTCTTTTTATTATTATTATTGTTATTATTGTTATTAATATTATTTATCGAGAAATGTAGCTACTCTATTTGGATATTCTGTGTCATACTGGAATAAATTGTAAAGTGATTTAATTTTATATGCTACAAATAAAACAGATTTATTTATGAAATATAACAAGGCCTCCGTCCAGTCTGTTGAATTTCCTCCTGTTATATCACGGTGTTTGGACCAACGTGAGGTCAAGCTGGGCTTATATAACTCTCTCTCTCTGTCTCTCAATGTCTCTCGACCTTGCACTCTCACTTCTGACTTTCTCTTCTGTGGAATGCCATTCTTGCAGCAGACTAGCTCGCTTTCATTTGATCTGACTAAGCCGTACACTTGACTGATTCTGAGAGAGAGAAAAAAAGATTAAGTCCACCAGAAGCAATGAGTAAGGGAGTATGCCAAGAATCTTAAGTGCTGCCCTGAATGGGCTCGGATTAGACACCATGCAAACGGGGGGGAGGGGGGGGGACAATGACTATGATTGTATACAACGTCGTGGATACATAGCACACATTCCTGCGTTGGCTTTTTTCACACGGCGCTGCCAAATTAGCTCAATCCCAACGTGTGCTACATGTGTTGGTCTCTGCTGAGTCTTAAACGTGTTGTAAACAGTCCTGGTTTTACTTAACAGGCGTTGAAAGGTAATATCATGGAGAAAGTAGGTAAGGAGAGGAAACAGTGGTGACACAGTCGCCCTGGTGGTCATAGGAACTTTCCAGCCACTCGAACACCTTGTTGCTACTGTCACATAAACACCACTTGGCTCCGGCTCTGATGTTTTCATCATGCAGGTTTACTTAAGCTCAGATTGTTCCCGGTTGCCAAAAGCCGCTCGGGAGCCGACGTCGGATATGAGAGCTGTGCACAATAACACGACTATCAGTCTGAAAAAGGATGTGTTATTTTTATTTTTCAGACACGAGGTCTGATGTTAAACGTTTGCACCTGGTTTTAAGGAAGGAGGGGGAAAAAGAAAAAAGAAAAATACCTACAGTAGAGTTTCAACAGGGGCAGGGAGAGCTGAGCTCAGGGGCAACGACAGGGAAGGAGGGTTTTTTCTTTTTTGATCCAGGTAGAGGGAGCGGCTCAGGAATGCAGCAGTGGCTCAGAAAGCAGACATCCTGATGGGCGGCAGATGTTGGAAAATATTTCAGAGCAACATGTTCACTTTAGGAGGACCGAGGAGGAGGTTTTCCAAATATACACAAACACTCCCAAGTATTCATTCGTGTCCACAAAAGGCACATTTTATCTCCTCACAAACAACTATTCAAAGAAGGAGGGGGGGAAAAAGAGCAGGTTTATTCAACATCTGCACAGCTTCTCCTGCAGAGCTGCTGGAAGTATGTCTTAATCAGAAGCATTTAATAAGAGGCTGAGCAGATCACGCTGCCTTTGATTGGACTGCATACCACACAGGATGTGCCCACTGTGGGTTCTTTTTTTTTTTTTAGTCGCTCACATAAAAGCCTTCTGAGGTTTACCTAATCACAAAGATGTGTGGCTGCGTCTCGGAGCTTTGACATACAGTACAGTGAAAACACTTCCAGCCTGTCCTGCTTTTCCTC